ATCAGGAATGATGGTAGAGGGAAATGTGACTTCTGGAGATGAGGGGTATGTTATGCTATTACAGGATGAAGCTCATTTGTCTGCAAGCAGTAAAATAAGCACTGTGTTGGCCCACAGTCAGTCTACCTTTTATTGCTCTGAGGACCAGCTCCAGCTCTCATATCTGGATGACAATACAGGTTGGAGTTTTTGCTCAAAATCATCACATTCACAAACGTGTACCTGCATTGTACCCAAATATGGGTTTTTTTAAAGCTGCATCAAGCATGATTTTTGTGCAATCACAAGCACCCAGTGGGGCTGCAGAGAAAGAGAGAAAAGCAGTGCACCCCCACCAACTGAGACACTGGAGATGTGCTCCATTTGCCCAAATATAATTTTCGTGTCAGGTGTGTACACTACTCCACCCACAGGGAATGACAAATTGAAACTTCTCGTAGCAGCAGTAGGATGGTGCTCCCTCGGGTGAAAGCCGGACTTAACAGTGTTACATCGTTTCCTTTCTCACTGGAAAGCAGGAGAGGCTGTATAGTTTGCTAACGTCACTTTACACGACTTCTAGGTCTTCGCAGTTCAATTTGACCACTCTCTAACATTCAGTGCTGCCATTGGGTGACATTGCCATGGGCTGCTTTAAAATAGGAAAAATATTCCCCTTACATACATCTCCTGCTAGGACTGACGCTGTAATTTAGGTCTGGTCTGCGACATGTCTTGTACAGTGCACATGATGAAGGTGGCTTATGATAGATTTCTGTTGCAGTGATGCAGTGCAGTCTGAGCTGCAGAGATATTACAATGTAGAGTACACTCAGACAATTGGTTGTGGATGAATACAGGCTTGAGGCATAAAGAATGAATGTACAATATGCCTTTGCAAAAGCAAACAGCAGCTCTCTGTAATGCAGAGAGGACTGTAAAGCCACAGTGACTCACTTCAAATTTCACTCAGATAGGCCTCCAGGATGCCCTTCTTCTTTCATGCATACACAGAGAAAATGGTGAGCATCACAAGGCTATTACTGTACAACCTTATAAGTATTGTACAATATTTTGCGTGATTGCGTGAACTGCGGCTTTAATATTCAAGCACAGCACTCTCGGAAAATCATGATCATGTTATCAGGCAGAAAATAGAACAGGACACAAGACTGAAGGAACATAACTCAAATCATTTACACCACTCTGCCAATGATGGAGCAGTTTCAAACCCAGAGCTTTCCGCAGAGAAAATAACAATGCAGAAATACACTGAGCGGTGCACTACACTCAACCACAAGGGAGGTCAAAGCTGACGGCTAGAAAGAATTCATATTCAGGGAGCTATGAAATATGAGCTTTGTGTGCTGCCAAATTGATTTAGCTGTAAAAATTCTTTTCATTTTGTTCCATAAAGATGCTCATACTTTTACAGCTCCCGCCGCCTATAGAAGCAGGCCTAGATGATTTGCTTAGAATTTACAACCAAGGTCATAATCAAAGCGGGTCTCCCTTTGCATGCTTAATGCCGCCTTGAAGAAGACTGGAATGGAAATCATCCTTTTCACTTCAAAAAGTCGGTAATTCTCGGCTACTCTGATTAGTTTAATGCTTGGATGGATAGGCCCTGCTCCCTGAGTTAAAAGAGAATACCAGCCAAAGATTTTTAAATTCATCATTCTGGTGCCCCGTGAAGACTTGCTGTCTCCCACACAGGAGCTGATTTGTTAAAGATGGAAAAAGTAACCGTGATAGCATCTGGAATAATTTACTGGGATAAAATCAGTCTGGTTGGTGAATGACATTTGAACAGGAAACATCAGACACAGCGACACAGAGTCCACAGCGCAAAGAGTGGACTGACTGTGTGAGTCCCTCATCAATGGAGCTCTGTACTGATTGTAAAGCCACAGTGAGTCACCTCGAAATTTAGTGACACAGCCTGTAGACGTATCTCATAAAATGTGTGCTGTCATTCCCATCGACAGCTTGTACTGCAGAGCAGGATGACAGGATGGATTGTTGTTTCTACTTCTCAGCTTCAGGACACTATTATTTGTGTTCAGAATTATTTAAACAAATCAATGTGACATGATAATTATGACATGACAAGCTGTAAAAAGCAGCATTGCTGTCTGTTGCACTGATATGACATCAAGTTTAGAATATAGCTCTGATTTATTCAAAATCTTGTTATATTAATTGTATTTGTAAATAATTCCCGGACGAGCACCCAAATATGCTGTTTTGCTGAACAGGAAGTGATCATTTATAGATTACTTGCAAAAAGCAGAGAATGGGCCAGGTAGTTAGCATAAGAAATGATAGCTTAGCACAGAAACAAAAAAGTGCCAATCACAAAAAACTAAGACTACATTTTTCATTTATTTTGGTCACTTGGGGGCAGCAAAACATGCTGACAACTCAACAGCTAACATATTATCTATTTAAAAAGTTGTAATGCACAGGTTTGTGTTTCTGCCCCCCTGATGAATATAAATCCAATATTCCACCATCTCCTCAGAAAAAGATCTTTGGCCGCTTGATTTTTGACTTCATGCTTCACCAGCCAGTTGTTAACTTTGTCTATCTGCCTTCTGGTGTCAATAAGAGAAAAGTTTGAAAACCAAAACAATGGGCTAAAAGGGGCTAAAATGTTCAGTTGAACTGAGGGAAAATGCAGAAATGGGTGATAATTCTCTGTGGATTCGTCAACAAACCTTTCACAGTCATATGACTTTATAAAAATATGTATCAGTGGAGCTTTAAACTTCAACTGGAAATAAGAAAAAATATGTTATACTACTTTACAAACTGTTTGATTGAAAAATGAAAGTGCCTTAGCAACAAAGATGCTCAACAGTCCTGAGCATTTCCACTTCTGTGATGTACAATAGCCTGATTTGATCACATTTTAAAGGAAGAATTTTCATGTTCCCACTTTAAGTTGAAATTTATTTTTGACATTTAAATTCCTTCAGCAGAGTTTGAGCAAAGGCCAACTGTTTGACCACCTCCAACTTACAAATGTGGGTAAAAATGCTCCATACCCTTCTTCACATGCACGCACACACACACACACCAACCCAAAGGTTTGTGGTTGACAAACCAGGGAGGAGTTGCCACCACTCTCTGACTGCACCACTGAACCGGAATGTGGTCCAGTGAGGAAATCCAGACATTTCCAAATTTATCGTTGAATAAACTGGCAACGTTGAGAGCGGCTGACAGGCCATTCATCGTGGCAGGCGCTGGCCCAATGGCATGCGTGGACAGGGCTGCTGTGCTTTGATTTCCTGTCCTGGCCACCATGACAGATGAGTTACGGAGAGGGTGGAGGGGACACAGCCTCTCACCACCACAAGGCATCACCTCTCTGCCCACCAGTTCAACCACACTCGTCGCTGCTTCCAGGACCCTCAGGGGCCATGGAGGTGGAAGTGGTGGAGATCCTGGTCATAGAAAGTCATGGGTGCTTTGAGTCCATCACTGCTGGGCAGTCATGAACAAAAAAATACTATAAACTGAGTCTAATATCAGCTGATGAAATTACAAAAAAAGCAGTGGTGGTCAGAACTACTTTTACAACAGCACTGACTGGTCAAAGCAGACAGTTTCAAAGGAGGATTTTTGTAGGATTTGAAGATTACATGTACGGATTAAAAAATTCATTCTTAAAATTCAGCTCAGAGCTGGAAAGAGGAGTGAGCAACATACAGAGCATGTTAAAGCTCAAACCATATCCAGAGGTTTTAACAATCAGGCCAAAGCCAGGAGAATCTATTTACTCTAGAAATAGCAAGGTTAGTAAAGTTCACAAGAGATTGATTGAACGATTTTGTACAATAACACGCTAATGAGATCATTTTCTGATGAAAATGAGTCAATAATAAATGGCTGAGGGGAAGGGGAGGGCTGCTGTAACTCCTCAGATAATATGCAACGGCTTGAGAGCCCATTCAGGGGCGGCAATAAGAGGCTGGTGACAGCAGCATTTGGGGAGAAAACACTGCAAATTAGAGGCAAAGGGAGCACATTTCAGTGCACAGGCAGTTCATTTTTCACATCAGTGTCTACTTTTGTTCCCGGCAAGCTGCCAAAGACATTGATGTAGGCACTATCCCTCCTCCACAGCAGTAATTATGCTGCTGGCCAATGCTTGATTAAAAGATCTAATCTGCAAACTTAGTGTTCAACATTTCCAAACAAGTTCCAATGCTTTAAGCCTCTTCTCTGTGTCTTTGACAGCACTGGGATCTGAAAATGTTTTGTCATGGGCAGCGGCCAACGAAGTGCAGGAAAACATAATTTTGCTTTCTATTCTGTGTCAGGGTGAAGGTGTAATTGCACCAGCGGATGTATTATTCAAGAAGAAAGCATGGCATGAATGGATATTGCTTTAACCTCAGTGAAATTATAAAGCTTTGAAGGCAGAAGTCAGACTTTTTTCCTGCCTGCAACAGGAACTAAAACAAGCGAACTGTGTTGCTTTTTCACCTAGGGCTCAATTATGGCTTTACTAAATCATCATTCCACATGGTAGCAGAGAGCCAGCTTCAGAAAAATGAAAATTGTGAGGTTAGTTTGGCAACAAGATAACGGCTAAATAAATCCACAAATTAAACTTTAAAAATGTCCTATCAGAAGAAAATTACTGTAAAAATATGGTCACCACAACATATTACAAGCTCCTAGTAATAATATTATATATTATTATGTGTTCGTTCCAGTAATGTCACGATACATTGGCTGTTGAGTATCACACACTCACTACAGGGATATTTTTATAGAGATCAGATTACGAAAATACCATAAGGTATAACAAGGTCACCATAAATGTACTAGCGATGAGCACAGACACATTACAAGTCCCTGCAGGGATGTTTTATTGGGACATTATAGGATTTTTTCCCTCAGGATCACAGCATCTGACCACACCATGGGCAGCTGTATCCCAATAAGAAGCCCTCAGAGACAATGGTGCTGCTGACAAAGTAATAAATAGCTCTAAGTGTCCTTACCCTCTCTGAGCAGATGGGAGTAGATGAGCCAGAGGAGCAGCAGGCAGCAGAGTGACGCACCTCCACCTGCGGAGAGCGTCTTCACTCCAGACTGCATCCTACACCTTCAGCCTTTCAGATTATCCAAACTTTGAACCCTCGTGCCGCTCAGATGTCAAGCAGATCAGCAGAAGAGTGGCTAATCCAGTGGCGTCTCCACAGCCTGTCCTCGGCATCCATTTTGAGGTTATAATAGGAGAGGGACTGATAGTAATCCCCCCTTGCTTTTCAAATTCCCTCGGCGAGCCGCATATCCATCCAGGCTGCTCAGCCACACACACACACACACACACACACACGCACGCACGCACGCACACACAGAGGGTGCAATGTCACCAGATCTGGCCAAGTTTACGCAGCTGTGGTTTCAGGAGCTGAAATTCATAGGCTGGCTTCTGCAAAAAAAACTGGAAGTATGTGGAGGAAGAGGAGTGAGCAGCAGCAGTCCCCCGCAGTTTTGATCCTCACACGGAGATGCTGATGATGCTGGTAGTAAATTCAGCCGCTCAACATCCCCTGAACGCCGCTGTCACCTGTTTTTTTTCCCTCCTCCGCGCTCTGCACTGTTATTATTATTCCAAACCAACTTCTGCGCCGACTAGCACCGGCTCTGTGTGACTCTACAGAAAAACGCGCAAGTTAACCCAGGCGGGCATGACGAACATACCAATCAGCAGGGGAAACTTGCCGAAAACGCAACCACTCCAGCGTCCCAAAACCCGGCTTTCGAAAAACAGCTAAAGGCTCAAATGCGTCAATTGTGGCCACATATGCACAAAGCAGCGCGGGCGAAATGTCACGTCAAAACAAGAAGCGGCGGGTGTCACGCAGCAGCGCACCGCCTCTGGAGCAAAACGCACTCCAAAGCGCGTCAATACAGGCGGTGCAGTGAAGTTGGACACACTTGTCACCTGTATGAGCCTTTGAGGAGGCTCTGGAAAATTGTCAGTGATGATGCCGCGCACCTCGGGCTAGAGGAAAAAAGCTCCTGTTGGTTTCAGAGGACTGTGTTAACCCATCCTTATTCTGTCCCGGTCGGATCCATTTGCATGCAGGCGACGCAGAGGAAGAGGATTTCCCCTCTTCAATCCATGGAAGCAAACACTGCTGCTGCTACTGCTGCACCCTGAGTTGCCTTGAGTTACAAAAATCTCCTCTCCTCTCCTCTCCTCTCTCTCTCTCTCTCTCTCTCTCTCTCTCTCTCTCTCTCTCTCTCTCTCTCTCTCTCTCTCCCACACACACACACATATACACACAGTGCCCTAATTCCTTCCGCAAAGTGAGAAAAAAAAACTTTGAGCTCCCAGGCTATAAATCCCAAACTGTAGATGATGATGATGCTTATTTATACACAGTAAGACGTCCCATCTCAGCCCACAGGGAGACTCAAAGCAGCACCAGCCTCCCCCACACATTCTGACATGTTACTTTTCTCCATGTCTTTATGCCCTCTTTCATAGGTAGAAAACGCCCTTGAGGACTGCATGGTCTGAGGACTACAGTTAACATTCAGCACACTGAGTTCTGTTCGTCCAGAGGACTGGTGATGTAGCATGTGCAGTGCCTCAGAGCTCTTTAAAGCAGAAGTTACAAATTATATATTGTCTAATATCAAGTCTCAAGTGGGCACATAGGGGCACATGCTACCCCGAGTGTGTGTGTGTGTGTGTGTGTGTGTGTGTGTGTGTGTGTGTGTGTGTGTGTGTGTGTGTGTGTGTGTGTGTGTGTGTGTGAGAGAGCGTGCTAAACCCCTGCAGATGCCAGTCTATCTTCTGAAAGAGCACCATTTAAGACTCCCTTGCCACTCGAGGACCATTACTATAACTCACCCCCTCTCACAGACACAGACACACACACACACACGCGCACACACACACGCACACACACACACACACACACACACACACACACACACACACACACACACACACACACACACACACACACACCAAATTCCATGGCCAGTGAATGTGCACTTTATTAGCAGATGGAGAAGTTCCCCCTGTGTGCTGCTGTGCTATCAGCCTTTCACTGAATGGGTTTTATGATGACGTATTGGCCCGGGCCAAGGCCTGTCACATCATCACTGTAATATATGAAAAATTACTGGGACTCACCCTGCAAAGACTATGCATTTGTTAAAGGGATGCTTTGCCGATTTCCCACCATACTGCCACATCAAGGCGTCATGTCTTTAATGCTGCTGATATTTTCTGCACCACTGTAACTAGGTGCAGCAGCTTACTTTACCTGGCTGCTTGTGGCCAACCACAGGGAGAGCTTGGCTGCTGAGGAGAGGTTTGTTTCCATCTCTCGTCTACAGCTCAGCTCAGTCAGTTCAGGGTTAAGAACCACGTTTCAGTCTGTCAGAGTGACGTCCCAGCAGGGTTCCCAGTGTGATTAATCATAATAAATCACTGTGACTGACAGGGTTGTAGAAATTCTGCCAGTTTATTTCTACGTATCATATTTATTTTCATGTTTACCAACAATATTTACAGACTTATTTTTCAGTGCATTTGGGCATGCGTGTATCGTAATAATAGTAACGTCACTGACACAATACTGTGCACTTTAAAAAGAAATAAATTTTTTTTAAAAATGGTTATTTATTCATGCCGGGTGACTGTGCACATACTTTATAACTGTCTACCACAACATGTGATTATTGTGTTTTACTTAAGATGGTAATTATTGGTACTGTGTTAATTGGCTGCCATCTCCAATCAGAACAAAGGTTACTGTCACTGTGTGTCTACAGTGTTTGTGCCAGTAGTGAAAAGTAACAAGTACTGTAGTTAATTACAATTTTGCAGTACTTGAGTATTTCCATTATATGCTACTTTATATTTCTACTCTACTACATTGATCTGACAGTTTTAGTCAGTAGAATGTAAAGTTACATGAAACTGAATATGTCAATGGTTTGTTCACAGCTTGTTTCTGCTGCCCCCAAGTGGCCAAAAATCACTAAGTGCATGTTTAAGATGAATGTAGGAGTTTTACTTGTAATAGAATATTTTTACACGGAGGTATTGCTATTTTACCAAGTACTAAGTTACTAAGTTAAAGATTAAAAACAGTTTGTGTGCCATGCTCTTTGTAGCTGTGTGCTCTGTGTTGATCACTTGTATGATTGGCTGCCTGCACAGTTGTTCAGTTCCACGAGTCAACATGAAGCTGGACAGAGTAAATTACATAAATGCATATTGATTTAATTGCTTGTTTGGTTTAGCAGCTGTGAAGCTGCTTATCAACTCATGTCATGCTATATCAGTCTGCTTGCTTGTAGGAGCATTTTGGCCGTAATACAATTTAGTAATACTTACTGCAAGACATTCTGACATGTCACAGTAGGAAGAACACAGGTGTAAATAATAAAATAAGTGATGGCTTAATTCCATTTAGCTGCTTTAGTTTAAAGGTCCTGATATTGTGCATGCTAGCTCAGTGTGGCGCTTGAATACCACAGAGCCATTGTTAATGTTATTATTAACATCTGTGCTTTTCCTGTTGAAAAGGCCTATTTTGTGAAACAACATTGTGTGTGTGTGTGTGTGTGTGTGTGTGTGTGTGTGTGTGTGTGTGTGTGTGTGTGTGTGTGTGTGTGTGTGTGTGTGTGTGTGTGTGATCCCACTGGGCTTGCAATTCTGACATCTGTCAAAAATGGGGATGGCATTTGTAATTATCTGTCAATGCTTTTACATTTTTGAAAAAATTACAAAATTATACAATTATATACCCCACTATACAAGATGTGCATAGTATATATGTATGAATTGACTGCTGAGGAAATACCACAAAGTGAGGCAGAGGTTCAGGCAGCAGCTGGAACAATAAAGACTGGATTTTGCTGGCATTGGTTCAGGGGGAGTTCTCGTGTGACAGCAAGGGACTGAAAACCTTCCAAGGTGAACAAAAAACAACAACAATAACAACAGGAACAGGAGAGTAGTTGACCAAGTGTTTCTGTAACGTGATTACATTTACATTTATTCATTTGGCAGACACTTTAGTTCAAAGCCAAGTGCACATGACGTCACAGCTGATCAAGGAAAGGCCTTGAAGAATAAGTGCTGTGACACTCAGTTCAGTGCAAAAAGATTGCAGGTGCCTGAAATAACATGTAAGTGCAATGGCCAAGTCACTTTTTTTTTTCCTTCTTTTTTTTTTTTTTTTTTTAAAGGGGTGGTGGCATAGACAGAGATGTAAAATTATGTTTTCTGTTTTATTGTTTCATGTGACACTTCTCAACCACACAAAAAGTAGCTTTTGCTCAGCTGTGGTGTATCACAGAGCATGAAACTCCTATTATGTGTCCTCATTTAACAGGTAAGCAAAAACAGTTCCTGTTGTAAGAGCTGATATATGGATGTGTAGCTCAAGTTTAGATATGGGGACTCTAGAGAGGAATGTCAAAGGTGTGGGTGAGCTACAAAACAACAGCCATATCTGGTGGGATTAAGTGTCTTGCTTGAGGACACTTCAGCAGGGACACAGTGGTTTGAACCCAACACTGAGAACTTAGAAACGAAACTCAGAATCTTGTTCATATTTTCGCTGTCCACAGGCTATGTGCATACTGCAGCTAATTTTGTGTTTTGTTAATTATGGATGCTCACAAGTTTGTGCATGAAGGTGGTTTTACTGGAACAGGTGGAGAATTTGTTACAGTTAATTTGCAGCATTTGTCAAATCATTGGGGGGGAAAAAAAGCAAATTAGGACACCCTAAATTTACGAGCATGAGCATTAGGATACGCAAGTATCTCAGGAATGTTATTTGTTAACTTATATCAAATCAAGACAGGCCACAGCCATGTGCACCCACAACTCCATCCTTGTTTTCCAGCCACCAGCTGTTCACAGCCATTGCCCACATGATGCCGGAGAGGAGCATATGGTGCCTCAAAGCATCTGTTCAAATGGACATTTCTTCTGCAAAATATTGAAACAGTGGCAGGTACTGTCACTACTGTACATACTGTGTAGTCATCAGCAGAACTCAGAATTTAACACTCTAAAGTTGTGATTTTGTTTTTACACCAGAAACTTAAAATACTCCACACAAAAGGAAATCTTTTGAATAACAAGCATTCACCACCAGCAGGCTTGAAAAGAGCCTCTGAAAAGTTTGTAGCACTCATTTATGTGGAGGACGTCAGCAGAAACATGTCAACACACTCAGCATCATTTTCTTCTCCGCTGTGATACTGTATGCTCTATGTTCACTGATATTCAAAAACTCATATTTTTGCCAAAGTTGGCTAAAGGCATAGCTTCGATTTGTTCAGAGTATGGTTAGCTTTTCCTTGTCATTCTCAATGTACTGTAAAGCAAAAGTAGTTGCATGCAACTAATGGAAGCTAACCATGCTAGCAACAAGTGAAAGCCGTATTTAGTCAGATTTTAGCAGACGTCCAAGTATTGGACAGTACTGAGACAACTGAATGTAATTATGGTTTGACCCCTCAATTCTGCTAGCTCCCTCCCTCTGAAAAATGTAAAAATGCATCAGAGACCTGCATAGGACAACCACTTTAGGGGCTGTGGTTTTTACATAAAGGTCATGACATAAAGTAGTCCTAAACAGTCAGCTCTATTTAGCATTTGCTTTACAAGGTTCATTGTAATTTTAAAAAGCAGAGGGCCTGTTAAGCCATTTTCAACCCATGAAAGGGAGATTTTCAGAAATTTGTTAAGAATGTCAATTGTTAACACCAGCATTGAAGTGTTTTATCATACAGTCATTAGTGGGGTTTAAGGGTTTTAACGGATGCACTGACTGACTGAGTGTGGCTGTGATTGTGTTTAGCTCATCGTCTGACTGAACTTAGAACTCCCCTGAAGGTCATTTTCTTACAGTTACAGTTTTCCTTGGTTCCTGTACATTCATCTATCAGATCCATAAAGCCTTCCATCAAGCTGAAACATTTTGAATTCACAACCTAATGGCAACTCTCCACTGACTTTGAATCCAGTCACACAGCTTCTAACATGTGCCCTGCGTTCTTTCTGAACACAGAAATATTCAGTAACAGCATGATTGTGAACAAAACTACAAGTGAGCCAAATTATGCTAAATTGTCCAATAGACTGCATTTTCTATCTAGATTTATAAACCTCAGCTCAAGGTAATAAGGAAAAAAGTCAGGATACTGACTAAAATCAATGTCATGGCTGT